GCAGCACCGCCTCATGTTCTGATGGGTCACTCCGTTGGAGTCAGAGAAACCATCCGTCTTCCCGCGTCTCTGATTGGCGAAGTGACGGGGCAGTATGTGAGTTATTGGAATAATTGGATGCATGTCAGCGAGCGAGTCCGAGCTTTCAAATTGTATCCGCATGGCTTTCGCACTCTCTCTCTCTCTCTCTCTCGCATCCATTCCAGCCCTATCTGTCAACCCTGCAGCTAGGCACTCAGCGAGTTGGCTGCTACGTTTCATTGCGTTTTGGCTGTGGTGGTAATGATGATGGTGATGATGGTTACGATGTGTTGTGTTCTACTTTGACATGTTCAGATCTACAATAGGCTGACCAATGGACAAGCAATGCAATTCGCGAGATTCAAACGCGTTTCGATGCTGCCGTAAGCTGGCATCAGGTTGCCCCGAGTCTCCATCTGCGTCTTCAAAGAATGCGGTGCGCCATTTGTCAATGTGGTACCTCCCACCTCAAGGTCCACCCAGGAAGCCCCGCTCGCAGGGCTGCATTCTGCACTCCCCTCACTTCTTCGGCGATTCCACGACGCTGACATATGAACGTCGGTCTTGTGAGGACGTGGAGGAGAGTCGAGGTGCGTCTAATTATTTGTACGCACGAGGCACCCCGATCCCGTCATCCCGTGGTGTGGGAATAAGGAGGAGTGCACTGAATAAGGATGTGGTTGTGGGTGGGTGATCATGAGCGCGGGAACGCTTAGACCAGCTGGCCGTGACCGCGGGATTGGGAATCAGAAGGAGAGTTGGGGAACAAGAGCGAAAGAAGCTTTTAGCTTTTTCTTCGGCATTCAGTCGCAATGACGCGAGAACGCGGGTGTAGGCTGGACCCCGTTCACGGTTCAACTGATTACTGACGACACTGAGCAGTGTCGGTTGCACATCTCTCACGTGTGCAGTGTTGGTTTGGCGGGGGGGCGGGGGGCGCTTTTTCTTCGCTCGCCGACCGTCCGTCCCTCGGGGCCACGGCAACAAGTGAACCGTGCGGGTAGTTCGGAAGGGAAATCCAAGGGTCTTGTATTAGCAGCCAGGGCCCAGAACGAGACTCACGCACTCACGCTCCTCAGACGGCCGCTTTTCATAACGAAAGATGCCGAATCCCCCCTTCCGTTCCTCATCCTCCGCACTAAATCCGGATCATCGCCCAGGCTGTTGGGAATCTGCTCAAGTCTTCGGACGACACGGGACCGTTTCCTGGTCCCCCACGTCTTTACTCTTTTCCCCGTCCCAACGGAGAGAGTCGGGGACGGCAAGGGCAGGCAAGAGATGGGTTCCAGGTAGTCTCTTGCTAGGCCCGCCTTGTCCATCCCGTCTACGAAAAGCTTTAGGAATCGCTCCGGCTACGGCTGGTTACGAAGGATTCATTGCACACGCGCCGTATTCCGCCGTAGTCGTCCCCAATCCGGATTTTGTGCAGATTGTGGGGAGGGGTGATTTTCGGGTTTGTATACTATCCGCCAGGCACAGCCGGCCCCCAAATCCCGCAACTCTGGGAAGCCGAAACGAAATTGAGAATGATGGTCACGCGCAAGCAATCCACCCCATCTCCCCCCGTCTCCGCTTGTGAGCATGTCGCGATGCTGTTTGTGTAACCGTGGGTCATCTCACGCGAGAGTGAGAATAAGGCGGCGGGGCGGTATGTTGAAGAGGGAGGACCGAGCTGTAGATGGGGGTTTGTCTCGCCAAGCGGGCTCGCCATAGGGTGAACGAATCTCACGGTGAACGGCGAAAGCGAAAGAGAAGGTGGAAAAAGGTTACGGGGTATGCATGCAGCAAGCCACGCTCTCGATGATGCCGTGGATTTTAACCTGACCACGTCCTCGTCACCCCCGCGTCCACGTATTGACATTTAGTCGCAAGCATTCGGATGTAGGCAGACTGACTGGCAGACCGGCACTGGCAGTAGGATGATGGCTCATATCAACGCAAAGCGGACACGGCACAAAAAGGGTCACAATGGAACCGACCGACTGGGGAAAAAGGGCTGAGAATGGGATGCGCTGTAGCTGGAATCCACCCCTGCCCCCGATTCGATTCGCGTGGTGCCCTGGCCCAGATGACTGATGAGTCGATGACCCAAAGATGAGCCATCCTGATTTCCTGCCCGTTGTGAGCGTAATCTTTTTGAGTTGTTTTGCCCGGTGCCCGATCGCGGTGCCGAGCGTGCCCCGACACACACCCAATTCTCGGGCACGTCAAATATCCAGCAGCCCTTTGTTTCGGTATGGGTAAAGTCGGAGGCTCGGCGGGGGTTCTCTGTGTCATCACTTGACAAGAAGCTGCGCTTCCCGGCCGGTGCGGGCGGGTTTCGTAGAAGCCATGATCCCCGGGGTGATGGTCACCCCTTGCTTTTCCTCTTCTTGCTGGTTTTGTTGGTCCCCATGGAAACGGAACAAGTCGGCGAGATTCGACGATGCAATGACTGATCCTGATACTTTGATTGACGTTTCCGCCCTGCAAACCGTCCGCTTGTATGGTAGACACTTTAGACACAAAGGAAGAAAGTGCCGTGTGTTTTTGACTCCGTTGGGCAATTGGGTACAAAGTGTATCCGTAAACCGGCGCATCAGGCTTTCCGTCCAAAGTACGCTGTTTCCCCGTCGCCCGGGGCAATAGTTCTTCGCCATGGTCCGGGTGTGGGTACTCAGGCCCGACTCATCATGGCTTTTGTGGCTGGGCGCGCGTCCCGTCTCTCTTCCCAGACGTGTACTCCAGGCACCAACAGTATAAAGCAGCCAAAGTTAAGCAAAGTTATGCCGAGAGCGAGGATGCGCCCAGGCGTTATGCCTAACGCGGCGAGCAAAGGGGGCACCACGACCATCAGCAGCAAGGCACCGCACTGTAATACGTGCATTCGTAAACAGGGCGATGGCACTCTGCTACGCAACTACGTTGCTCTCAGCCCTATAATTTGAGCGTGGCTCGGGGGCATTCGTAAATCCGTACGGATCTGCTCCCTGTACGTACACAGAGGTGCAGCTGGCAAGGGCCTGTGATTGGCGCGTGTCCGACAAGAAAGGCAGTCAGCTGGTGTTCCCAAATCCAGGTACCTAATCTCTCCGCAAATGTCTATTCCTCCCCCCGTCTCCAAGCTCGCACTGCTCGCACTCGCAGCAGACCTGGACGGAGCCGACGGCGGAGGAGGCGGTGCAGCAGGGGGAGCTGTGCTGTGCGGTGCTGTGCTGCCCGCGCGCACCCGCGCAATTTCCGTTCCCATTTGGCTTTCGTGGCCCTATTGTGTGGTTCGTCAGGTAGGCAGCCCGCAGTAGGTATCCCTTGTCTCGGCGCCGCAAAGTGAGGCCGGCCGACTGGCGACCGACGGGGGTTTGAGGTAGCAACGGCTCTCGGCGCAGTCTCTCTTAGACTCTGGTCCTTCTCACCCCAGGTAATCTGTACGGACAGTACAGAATGCCGGGGCCTGGTACCATCATTGTCCCAAACGGGCAATGGACAATCAAGGGAATTTGAGATGGCATCTGGGACGGGGCCAACGGCCGAACACACCCCCGTCGTGCTGGGAATTCCGCTATTGAGCCCGATCCTTTCTCTCCTCGCTTGCTGGCCTCAGCTTGTCGCAGATTGCGTGCATAGTGCGAGTTACAGTTTACAGAGTATATCTGTAGGAAATGAGGCATGATCCCCTGGAGCGTATGCGAACGGATACCCCGCGGAGTTATGGTAGGCGGGCGCCGAGGCCAGCAAGCGACAAAAGCATGACTGTATGTGCCCGCCCGGTTCACGAAGATACGGCGTGTCAGATGAAATGAGACAGACGAGACGAGCTAAGATGGAGATGACGGGCCTGGTGATTAATCCAAATGGTCGGTGCGGAGTTATGGGAGTTATGCCTATTTCCTGGCTCCGTCTTTTGGCGATGATGAATTGGGATGGGATGAGACGAGCCTACCTGCGGGAGTGCGTGCTCGCTGGAGAAAGCTACCTAGGGTGGCCGATTCTGATGGAAGCCCCGTTGATTACAGAGAAAAGCGAGCACAGGCTGACAAACGTCGACGCTTATCCCATCAGACGCGAGGTACCTAAGCAGCTGCACAGAGTAATAAGGTACGATAGAAGGTTACGGATCTTCGGGGTACGTACTCCATAGTCAGTCTGCGATTACCTACCTAGTCGTCGTCGAGTTCCCGCCGAGTGCGTCAGACCCCAAGAGAAACTGAGACTTTTGGTGCCCTTTGGTAGATACTTTGTAGCGCGACGACCGGCTTAGCGTGGCCCAGCGACGGGCAAACGTACACTTACACCGCACCGACCGGCGGCAGCGTAGGTAAGCTCGAAAAGTCCGAACACCTCCCGCAGCACAAATCTGCTGGGCGGAGGCTCGGGAAGCACCCTCGGTCTTGCTGATGACAAACGCCGCCCAAAGTCCACGACGGGGGGCCCACTCTTGGCTGGTGCAGGCACAGCGAAAGACTCATCTCTTTCATAATTCGCACTTCGCACCTCGCATCGCGCAACACCCACACCCCCCCCTTCTTTCACCCCCATTCCGCGGACAGAGAAGTCATTCACCCCCTGCACCTGCACGCCCTTTACACCCCTCCCCTTGTCACCGCTCCTCTCTCTTTTCTTCTCTCCGAGCCCGACAAGCCCAGGTCAGCGGAGCGACCTGAGTTAAAAGAAAAGTGTTTCCCCTTCCCAACCATCTAGAGATTCTCATCATCTAGCCTCAGCTTCACAGACCAGACCAAGATCGATAATAACCCCTCAAGAAGAAACAATATCTTCCCCTGAACTATTATATAACCATCATCGATCTTGCCTCTTCCCGTCTTACCTCGCCTCATCTGGTACTATAACAGCCTCTTGAGATTACCAAAGCATCATCACAGACCAAGCCAGCTAGCCCAGGCATCCCTGCCCCACTGCATCTTGCACCCCCCGATTTCGCTTTGAGTCATACCAGCCAAAATCGCGACATATCAGTCACCATTGGTGCACAGTTATACAAAATGTCGACAACCACCACCACCACCGCCTTTGCTCCTCACACACAACAACGACAGCAACCTCTCCGCCTCGCCGTCCAGAAGAAGAAGATGAGCATCACCCAGACTTACTACCTCGCCCACAAGGCCCGGGCCAAGCTCTCCTCCGAGGCTGCCCGCGCCGACCACGACCTTCGCCTCCTCGTCGGCCACGCCAACCTCCTCGACTCCCTGATGCTCGAGCTCGCCGATGCCGAGCGGGAGCAAGAGAGCTGGTTCAACCAATCCGTCCGCGGTGCCACCAAGACTGAGACCAACGACCGTCACATCCAATGGGCCGACACCATCGCTGAGGACTCGGAGGACTTGTACGAGGACGACTCCTCCGACTCGGATGACTCTTCTGTCTCCGACGACGATTACGAGGAGGAGGACGACGTCGAGATGGCCGACACCGTCTCCCTCCGCCGCATGCCCTCCGCCTCCGTCTCCGCCTCTACCCCCGCCTCCCCGAGAACATCAACCGTCGAAGTCTCGGAAGACTACGACATGGAGGAGGATGACCTCGAGGAAGACTACGCACAGCTCGAGCTCGTCCGCACACCATCCCACTCCAGCTCCAGCTCACCACCAGAGCTAGAGCACGACTCGGACATCTCAGACGACGAGTCGATGCCTCCATCACCACCAAACGCAGTGCTCACCTTCAACGAGAAGGGTGTCAAGGAAGAGATCTCTCAACAACAAAACGACGGCACCTTCTACTCAGAAGGCTTCTACCTGCCGCCCCGCAATCCAGCAAGGCTTGTGTCTGCCATCTCAGTGTACTAGAAAGACTACACTTGAGAACGGTCTCACACTCTTACCACCTTTGTCTGTGATTTTTACATGATCTCTTCTTTGGCATTTATCAGCGAGCGTTTGCATATCTATGGCGTTACTTGTTACCGATACCAAATCAACGGCATGGGTTACGAATTATTTGGAATTACAAAACGACAGCAATGTCCCATTCAGGAATTTCATCTCTTCTCATCTTACTTCCTTTTGTCGCAATGAGAAGTAGAGGCACAAGCTGGTCGATCCAAAGGAGTGGATCGAAATATGCTTTGAGGGCCTTGATGGATAATGGATCTACTTTTCTCTTCTGCTGCCCGCTCCCCGGCTCCCTATCGTGGAGAATCCGCGGTTGAATGGCCCAGCCTTGTGTTACAGACAGATAGAAACCAGCCGCTTGGGTCAACACCAGCGCCCCCTCAAAAGCGAGCTCAGAATCAATTGAAACCAATCTTCAATCTGAACCCCCCTCCCTTTTCCAACGCTTTTGCAATATTGTGAATGTCTGGTCGGAGGACTGGGAGCGATACAGTCACGTAAGTCACTGTTGCATCATTGCTTCTTCATTCGCCTCATCTCGGGGTTGAAACTTGCGCTGACGAGTCATTTAGGCAGTCTACATGATTCAGCGAAGACGGCGACAATGCGCCGCTGCGCGTTGCGTTATCGCGCACCACCAAAAAAAAGACCTTCATTTTCGCCAGGTACCAGACAAGAGGGTGGTGAAAGCGCCCTGCGATCTCGGCAGATCGGCGTGGCTCAACCTCCGGTTCTGTCACTCACTGTCAACCCCTCGCTCGCTTACCTCACTCTTGAAGCCAAGCTGCCTGCCTTGTGCCGCTGCTCTTGGTGCTGCCTGCCACAAAAGCACTGCGAACAACGACAGCTGATTCGATTTCCGCGCCCCGACATTCTATCGACACGCCCACCCCGCCCCCCTTCCGCTTCTTTTTCAGGGCCGTCACAGTTTTCCGTGGTTCACTAACGCCGTGCCTGCCGTATCGTGGACGAATCACGAGGGAATAATCGTGGCATTCGGACTTTGGCGGTGTGTTTTAACTCCCCCTCCAGCTCCCTTGTGGCCGCAAGAAGTCGGAATTAGCTGCCTGGAGGTAAGCCAGGTAGGTGAAGCAAACAGCGAAAAGCCCGACGCCAGCATTATTCATTATTCGCCGTGCGCCCGAGGCGATTTGCACAAACAAATGTCACCGAGGATACCAGTCGCGGGCGGTCCATTATCACGGTAATCATTTGATCTAGACCGCGAATAAAAAGCCACGGGCAACGACCAAAGCTGATGAACGATATTGAGTTTATCTCAATGATCTGGTCTGGTCTGGTCTGATCTGATGGAAATTCGCTGTGGAACCGAAAAGAACACGATTGCGAGGCAAAGATGCGCGCAGCTGCGACTTTGAGGGAGCAGAGGCAGAAAACCTGAAGACGATTACGACGATACGAAGCCTACATGAGTGGAAAAGGCGTGTGCATCCCGCGTACAATTACGCGGGCATGGTGTACGCGGCCACGACAGCGAATGCGAGTCACCGAGGCAAAAAAAAAAATAAAAAATCAATGACAGTCACTACCTTTGCAGGGCGTGCGCGCGGACGGACGAATCCCGTCCGACTGGAGACGGCGAGCCCAAAAGAGACAAGCCTGACCCAAAGGAACCGACGGAGAAGACCAACTTCCGCAACGCCTTATTTTCGCAGCAGCCAGAAACCCGTTCGACACGGTGACACCTGCTCGGGGCCCGAATACTGCGGGACGTGGGGACAGGTGGTGCGCAGAGGGGCCCGAGCGCGGCCCCCTTCTTCAGGCCGAAGCGACCATCATCCCGGCTGACATAAGGCGCAGCAAGCGAGGCGAGATCTCACTGCCAGATTGGCAGATCAAAGGAGATGGAAATGGCACCATGATTGGGCTTGGCTGCGAAGCTTTGCGAGGTTCGCTAGGGCTCTTGGTCGCTTTCACCGACGACAAATGGCAATTAATTGCAATTAATTGGGCAAGCTCGCCGGCCTATCGATGGGTGCCTCGTGGCCTTTCGCGATGCGGAAACTATTAATCATCCAGGGCAATTTCGAATCTCAAAAGTGAGCCGGCCCAGCGTGCAGAAAAAAAAAAGGGACTGGCAACTGGAAGCGACAAGCTTCACTGGAGGAGGGGGTGTGTGTTGTAACTTGTGCCTCCCGCCGTTGACATGATTCATCCGGTCTGAATACATACCCAGCACACCATCAGTTCCGACCTCGCTGTCATTTGGTCGGCAGAACCATGATAGAGCCGAACGTTGGACCGTGGGAGAAATAGCCCGAGGTGAGAGGTAGGTACGCCGACAGGGCGGCTTGAGGGTGGTGCCGCATACATCTGTCGATCCAATTTTCCCGCCGCCGTCGGAAGCCTTGGCCGAGCCGGCAGCGTCGGTTCATGGGGTGTCCCAACGGCAGGCACACCGGCAGCGAGAGTGCAGTCAATCCATTTCCTTATTTTCGCTCGCCAGTCTCGGGAACGGAGAGCCTAAAAAAGACATGTGGGTTGGACGGTGTGCTTTCTTCGGAAGAAGATTCGGGTGTGACGAGACTGGCAGACGGCGGGCAGGCGGGACGCTTGTTTCTGTTTCACCTGCGCCATCCTTCCCGATCGAGGGCTCGATTCCCGCGGGCTTGGGGAATAGGTGTACAGTGTAGCGCCCTGTGTCAACAGGAAGACTGGTAAATGGCTACCTTATCAATGCACACTGGTGAGTTGGTCTGCAGATTCAAACTAGATCACCGAGTCAATATAAAGTCTCGGCAAGATTCCGTGCATGTTTTTTCCCAATATGGATACATATCGATGCACCTAGGTGTCTAGGTTGGTGCGCTACTCCCATAAGCTCTGACAAACACATCCGTCCAGTCGCTTGGCGGCGGCGCGAGTTCCCACGATGCGTCTTTGCTTGACCGCCCCCGTTCGGATATATGCTGTCCTTGGCCAGCCCTGTCCATTCCCCTTCCACCCCTTCCCACAAGGGAAGGAAATTTCATCAATGGCTGCGGGTGAGAGAGAGAGAGAGAAGTCAAAGTAGGGCGGTGAAGGGCGGATTCGCCTGGGGCCTTGAGCGGCCCCAGAGCCCCAGGCAAGCATTATGGGAAATTGGCCAACCTCGTCGCTGGGCTTTTTGCTTCTTTCTAATAGTTACCCATCTATTTATTTTTTTTCTGCTGGGCTGCGAGCAGGGCGAGAAAGCGGTGCCCGCACAAAAGCTGCGTGCAGATGACACGTCCAACCCTGAAAGACACCCCCGGATGAGACACGCTGGCAAGCAGGCACACACAGGTTATCAATCGTTAGGGCCTGAAGTCTGACGGGCGTGGGTTTCGGGCCCCAGAGAGAGATCGAGGGCTGCAATCTGATTCTGGACCCCATCTGCCCTGCTTGGTCCACGTCGATCATCTTGAGGCTGTAGTGAGAGTGGGGAACATGGCGGTTGACAATCGTGCAAAAAGCAGAGACGGGCCAGGCTTGAGACAGAGTTGAAGTCTCCCACTCAGTCCAAAGGTCTTGCGCACGCAATCTTTGTCTGGGTTGTGTGATGACGAGCGCGGTGGTTCTTTTTCGAGATTATGCAAAACAGTGCGATGAGGGCCGGGAGAGATGCCCACGTATGGAGAATGCTGAGGTCACGATGGCGAAATTTGCAAGGCGATCGAACTCTTTGGAATTTCGTTATCGATATATCGGATTTTCGGGGTTTGAGAAGAGGAGAGAGAGAGGGGGGGGGGTTCTGCGGCCACGGCCACGGCTACAAGCTCTGAGGCCGGCATGGAAAGATCGTCGCGCGCGCAGCAATCATATCATCTACCCCACGGGTCTCGTTGCGGCCCTGCGGGTTATGCCTTCCAGGGGTCCATGATCTGCTTGATAAGGGGGGGGGGATTGACCCACGGATTGAGCTGTACAGTGGGAATTCCAGGTCCAGAGTAACGAGATCGACTCTCGTTGTGAAAAGGTCTCTACTCTTGAGTGACGAGACAACTTCACTCGCTTGCGATATCTTGGCTGGGCACGAAAGCTGGATGACTGGGTGAGGCGTTTGCCCGCACCGCCCGCCCCCGATCCATCATTCTCTAACAAACCGCCCGCCCCCATCCCACGAATCCTAACCCCCGTCTCCGCCGGGGTGCGGTCTGTGTGAGTCCCCTTCGGCAGGGTGGGGGCATACGGTGGAGTTTTCTTGTTGCTGGCGGGGAGTGGGTGAGGCAAGGGGACGAAGATGTATACTGCAATAAAGCACTTTCTCGCAAGGGTGGGATTTGTGCGATCGCGACTACATGGTGATGACTATATGATGTGGAATATTGAGGAAGAGGGGTTTCCAATGTGGTTAAGGGAAGCGAAGTAGCCCCGTTCGGAGTATTTTTTTTTTATTGAGTCACCGGGCCCTGAAATCTCGCGATGGTGCCTGGCCTTGCGCCGCCGCATCTCTCCCTCCGTTATCCCCACCGCCGCTCTGAGATGGACAATTGCTTGGCATTGAAGATAATCTCACATTGCAACCCGCAAGTCCAGAACCTGTGGGTCTCTTTTCCCCTTGGACGGCCGTAGCCCGGGGGCCGAGATTTATGGACCCTTCTCTCCATCTTACGGATGCCCATTTGGATTGCCGAGCATGCATAAAGGGGTGTGTTAATAGCAAAACATGTGTTCCTGATTGTGCAAACTGGCAGGGGCTGCTTTCGTAAGCTCAGGCCGAATTATTCATCAGTCATCATTCTCCCCCCTCCAGGTCCCAAGGACTGCCAAGGATTTTCCCACACTTCGCCCGTGCGGCCGATGACTGGTTCAAAAGACTGTTGGCTTGGAAATCAGAGACATCATGTACGTATACACCCTCCCCACCACCCCCAAACGTGAAAAAAAAAAATGCAAGCAGCGGGCCGCGCCTGTGCGTGAGAGGTGGCCGATCCACACAACGCTTTCCCGTAGAACGTGCTGGATGGTCGCGG